CTGCCCCGGGGCAGTGCCCCCCCTTTCCCTGGGCAACAACCCCCGCCTTCCTGGGCAGCCTCCCCCTTCTCAGGGCAGTGCCCCCCTATCCTGGGCAGGGACACCCCCTCGCCAGGTGTAGGGACCCCCCCACCCTAGGGCTGGGCACCGGCAGCCTCCCCCTTCTCAGGGCAGTGCCCCCCTATCCTGGGCAGGGACACCCCCTCGCCAGGTGTAGGGACCCCCCCACCCTAGGGATGGGACCCCCGGCCCAGTTAAGGACTCCCATTCATCTTCCCCTGCCAGCCACTTCCAGGATTTTTCATTACAGACAGGGACCTCCCACCCTACCCACTAGGGCAGGGACCCCCCCTCTCTGTGGGAACAAGTACCCCCCCACCCATCCCCGCCAATGGCAGGAAGTCTCCCGTCCATTATGGACAGGAAGCCCTCCACACTCATCACCTCCAGGGGCCGGGACCCTCACATCACTCAGGGACCTCTCTGCCCCCTCACCCTCAGCACAGTTGGGAATTCCCCTGCCCATATGTTTGGGGCGGAGATCACTCCCATGATAGGCAGGGACCCCCTCCCATCTCCCTAGGTGGAGGGACACCCTATTCCCATCACAGTTGGGATCACCATCCCCATCATGGGTAGGGATGTCCCACACATTCTTAGGGGCATCCCTCACAGGGAGGGAGTTATTCCCTCCAGGGGCCAGGATACCCCTCCATCATAGTCCAGTATCCATCCTACAAGGGTCAGGAGCAGCATCCCCCTTCCCAATTTGAGCAGCAGCCTTATCCCCACCAGGGGAAGGAACCCACAGAGTCCTACCACCAGAGCCAGGAGCAACTCCCCAGGGGTAATATCAGTCCCTTTGCATCCCTCCGGACAGGTAGTCTCTACCCAAACAGGAACTCTCCTCTCCCTTTGCTACCATGGACAGCAGTCTTCCCCATCCTCACAGTGCCAGGAGCATTGTCCCAACCCACTTGGGCCTAGAGCTAGAAAACAATCCCCCCTCCTTGCCAGAGGCTGGCTGACTCCTCCCTCCTTTTCATCTCTCACAGGGCCAGGGGTCAGAGTGGATAAAAAGTGATTTAAACATTTTTTTATTCTTTTGAAATTGAAATCAGATGTATTTACTTAAATGCATTTTTCTTTTAAAAAAAATAAACCCATTGAAAATTAAAATTGAAATGTTCAACCTATATTAAGACATACACATTTACTAAATTAAAATCATTTAAACTAAATACAAATAATTCAAGAAGCACGTTTGCTATTGAAGTTTAAAGTAAAACAATCAGACTGGTGGAAGTTGCCAACTAAGCACCTAAAACCAGAATTTGCTGATATGCTAAACCAGATATTGACAGCAATAACCTCTTCAGGTGCAAAGAATACTGTCTTCAGCTGAGTTTATTCAACTAGTTTAGTTCATTGGCCAGTTAATATTAAGTTCTTTCACCTCAATTCAGCCTAGGAAAGGTGCCACCACCCTTCTTATTCTTCAGAAAAGAATGAGGAGGTCATACTTTAGGGTAATCTCAGGATCTTTCTTTGTTACAGCATAAATTCAGTGACCTAAGAATCTCTGTCCCTAATATCCTATGCTCCCATTATCATGCTGCGTTGACTGTCTAGTTACAACCCACTAACATCTCCCCTGGTTATAATGTGCTCTTTCTCCTTACTCATAAGCAATTCAGACCCCCACAACAAAAATTCCAAATGCTTTGCCATTATAATGTATTTATTAGTCTTCAGCCCTTAAAGACAACATGTTAAAAAGAATTTAACATTCCCCCACACATTATAAATGATGTTCTGGATATTAAGGATATTTTATTTCCTTAATACCCCATTTTTAAAAGGATGAATTAAAAAAATATTGTGAGAACTGAAATTCTCTCAATTCTTTTGACCCAACAGATCACAATCCTAACATTTCAGCCTGTGGATTGAAGAGTTCTAAAATGCAGTCCAGAGCTGCCTTCTACCTGTAACAATGTGAAGACAAAATCAGTCAACTCCAGGTTTTGATTGTTGGCTAATGCAAGCAGTGAGCTTTTAATCTAACAACATAGATTGGAGCATCAGTAGATTATTAGTGCTCTGTGTGTTATTGTTAATTTAAAAACCTGATATGATTGAGGCCAAGTTTACGTGAGTAGCTTTGTCGATATAAATGCCTTCATGTTTGGGACCTTTATCTGTAAATTAGCTACAGTACTTTTGCTTCTGGCAAATTTAGGCCCTGATCTTACATATGTGCTTAACTTTATGTATGTATGTAGCTTCACTGAAGTCAAAGGGACCAATGTACATAAAGTTAAGCATACATTTTGCATTGCTGGGCATTAAATGCTATCATGAGGGGCATTCTACAAATAGAAGTAGAAGTTAGTTTTACCCCCAGTTCTGCAAATTTGGGTGCCCTTGATTTAACAAAATGAAGTATTGTCTTTATTTTTTTCTGAAGTCTTTGGCCCTGTTACATCCTTATTTTAGCAGAAATTCCCAGTGATTTAAATTAGGTTTGCTTGAACAGCAAGATCCATTATGGAAGTGTTGGATGTAATTTTAGTCGCATTATTTTTTGTAATAATTTAATAGAATCAGTTTTCCAACCTTCTTTGTCTTTTAAAACAAAGAAAACTATAGAGAGGGAGAGAAAGAAATTTAATATATTTGATCTTAAAATGAAAATATTACTTAAAAATTGGGGGTGGGAAAGGACTTAAATATTTTTCCTGTTATTCAAGATATGAAAGTAGAAAACAAAGGAAGCATACCCAATATATACAAAGCTAAACAGAAGAAGTTGTAACAAAAATCACATCATTTTTATTATTTTATCTCCTATATGATTTAAACCTATTCCTTGAAAATATTATTGCCTTGGTAGGAGTACTGTGAGGAAATTCTTTATTTTCAGATATGCAGAATCTGTTTTTGTGTTGATTGTGGAAATTGTACTTCTGAGATGCATATGTTCTGTTGGAGAGATGGTGCAGACTGGATGAAATTCACCTCTCTGCAGATCCTGTACTCTAGACTTTTTTTTTCTAGGCATATAGTATCATAAGTTACAAACATATCAACAGGGATATTTTTATGGGAATCTTTTGACCCCAGTGAAATACATGTAATTCACAGAACTTTTTGAAATGATGTAGTGAATAAATGGGAACATTTTTCATGCTTGCAGCAGAACTGGGTGATTGTAAGGAGTTGCATGTTCCATGGATAATTCAGAGTTCCGATACATGCATTGATTTGGCATTTAACGGAGTGCAATTGTTTATAATGTTTTTTATATACAGTGCACAAACTTGATTTGAATATCTTTTCTGCAGGTTGCATTTCCTAAAATAATAAAGTAGAGATTAAACTTTCTCACCATGTTCATGTTCATGACTAATCTTGGAAGGATTAGATTTTTACTGTTAAATTTCACTTTCACCTTACATACATAATAAACCTATGACAAATATTCCATTGATAACTGAAATTTATGCATAGAAAAAGTAAGAAAATGGCTGTTTGAGAGCATATTAGAGTTTGATTTAAGAATATGCATTTTGTGTGCTTTGATTTATATGATTTTGACAGATTGTGTTTTAATTGTATAAAACAAACTTTTTGAATCTCAACATATCCTATCTTTAAATAGTTATTGATTTAGCCCCCCATATTTTCTCGCATTTATGAAAAATTAAATAAATAAAAATAGAAAAAATGCTTAAAACTAACAATTTTGTGCAACTGTGAAAATTTAAATTGATAAACATTTTTAAAATGCTTAAACATAAACATCAGTATTCATTAAAAATATATTTTTAAAAATATGAATTCTGCTACACCTGTTCACGATGATCAGTGTGGGTTAAACTGCTGCACATACAAAGTTCCAATTGTTCGAAAACACTTTTAATTTGAACTCATATTTCCATCTAAAATACAAACCAGAAGTATTTATCCTGAGTCCTATATGATAAGGATTGCATATGGGTGTACATCAATAGTGGTTTTGCTTTAATTTTTAGAGTGTATTCTCTGTTCATCACTATTCTCTAACTTTTCCCTTTTCCCTTCTGTTTAGGAATATTGCTATATACACTAATGCATTTTTCAAGCTCTGAGTCTTGCCCTAGTTTATCAGAAACAAAAGCATAGTCCCTGATCAGACCTTAAAGGTGGATAAACATGGACCAGTACCACCTCACTGATGAAAACTTCATCCAATCAGAGATGCATATTCCTGGATTTTCAGAGAGTCAAGGGCTGAACTGTAGTGACACTCTCAACCTTAAACTGTGTCCAGAGACAGGAGACATAATGTATACTGGTCTGAGCAGCCTAGATATAGATCCTAACCTTTCAGCTGCAGATATGGCTAATGACACTTTGGAGGACAATTTAGATGCACTGTCTTTGTATTCTGTGAAGGATTGTGATTTTGTTAAACTCTTTGATGAGTCTGACTTTGGCCCACAGCCTTCTTTGTGTGGTGAGTACATTGGAATCTCCTTTGGTTATAATTTTGCAGGGTTGTGACGAGGATGTCCTTTTACAGTTCAGTGTAACTACAATTCTTCAATAGTTTAATTTAGACGCTGAAGTAAATCTAGTGATAATCTCATTGTGGCAGGGACATTGGGTAACATTTTCAAATGACACTAAGGCCAAGTCTTCATTAAAAGGTAACGTTGAATCAAGATAGACAACTCCAGCTATTTTAATTACATAGCTGGAGTTGTTGTACCTTGTCTCGAGTTTCCACGCTGTCCCCCCCAGCCGAAGGTTCCTGTCAGCTCCCGTCAGCTTCCCTTACTTCTCACAGAAGCAGAAGTACCAGCCACTGAGGGATGAGGGCGCCCTCTGAGTTCGATGTAGCAAGTCTTAACTAGACTTGCTAAATTGAACTCCGGAAGATTGATCATGGCAGCAGCGATCTTCCATTTAGTGAAGACATGGCCTAAGTGACTAGCAACCAAAATCTAATTTTCAATTGCCTTTAGAAAATGAAACATAGGTTTCTTAGTTGCTTTTGAAAATTTTGCCAGTTGTCTTTATTTGTCTTGTAATTTGTCATGCAAATGTATAGCTCTATAGAAAATAGTTACTAGTAATAATTGTAATATTAACTATAATAGGACTATTTCACCTTAAAATTGTCCCGTGGCTGGGAATATATAGTGTTCAAATCATGTGCAACTTGCTCGCATGCTGCAAATGGAAAATTCAAAGACATTACAAAGATAGATTTGCTAAATATGCTGATAACATCTACATTACAAGCTTTCACTGAAGCATAAAAGAGACATGCTGTTTAATTCTTGGTTCTCTGGGAAATGGATTTAGCAGAATGAACTTTCTCCAAAATTTGCAATTAGAAATTAAAATGGGAATGTCTTTAGTAAAATATTGTTATTAAAAGAACAGGGTAGCATCACTGCTAATGCAAATCAGTGATCATGCAATAGCTTAACTTTGAAGACAGAAAAAATGAAAAGGTACAACTGGGAGTGTTCAAATAAGGGAATGATACAAGTTTTCTGATAAAATTTGGTGCATATCTTATTTAACTGATTAGGCCAGCTCATAGGAAAGAGGGTGATATATTCCAGAATTTCATTCTATTTCATAGGTAATGAATCTTAGATTTATGAAGACAGTATAAACTTGCTTAGGTCACAATAAAGGCAAAATAATTGAGAAAAGTCTCCTTTGTCCCTTTTTTTTCCCAAAAGGGGGAAACCATTGTGGCAGAAATCAGCACACTTGACTCTACTCAAGAGATTTAGGATTAAAATATCAAGCTGCAACTAAGATGCATTGTCAGAGCTGTATGAGAACATAGGCCTGAACTAGGTGTTGCATATCACAGGTTACATTGTTAGACATAAAACTGATGCATCATGTTTATATTAGTTATCCTACCCTTTAACTAGGCTCCCAGCAAAAATATTAGGGTAATTAAAAAAGGGAAATCTAAGAAACCTTATATTTTTGGGGTAGCTAAATACTACACTGTGTGTAATCTAATGAGTATAACTTTCACCCTTTATTTAGAATTGGGGCTTCCAGTCCCAACAGCACCTAAAGAAGTTGAACAAGAAGGCAAGTCCCGTTCTGGTAGTACCAGGAAAGGGAAGCATCAGCACAGCTCTTCTCAAAACCCTGTCCTGGATTGCAGTCTCTGTGGGAAGGTGTTTAGCAGTGCCAGCTCTCTTAGCAAACATAACCTGACTCACAGCCAGGAACGGAAATACATCTGTAAAATCTGCAGCAAGGCTTTTAAACGGCAGGACCACCTGTATGTAGGCGTTTTACTAATATAAAGGCATAAAATTATTTTCAGTTTATGTTTAAAACAATTTGATAGTATCCACTTCAGTAGTATTTCATTTTCCTGTTTCATTTTGGGTGAGACGCAGAGTTACAGTGCTTGGTATTTTGTGTGGGTACTTGTCAGGTCAGCAGACCCCATCAAATTACATGACAAAACTATATCAATAGCAGAAGCAAGTTATATCTGGAATTTCTAGAACACATTGGTGCAGAAAGGGCCGCAAAGGGCCATATAAAACATAGTTCAGCTACAGAAGAATGGTTGAGTTTGTATTGTGCAGTAGCAACTAAGAGCCTTTTATTTTTCTTTCTGATCAGTGGTCCAGGGAAAAACTTACAGGTGTTGGAAGCACTTGTACTAGACAGCCAATTGTGTGATTTTTAGCAACCAATATGTTGTGAACTACAGTAAAAGATTATTTTTTTCGTGCCATTTATAACTGGGATTCCATGCTTTCACATGCTATATAGCATTTGTTCTGATCTCTAGTGAGTCTTGACATATTGGACCTTCAATGGTCAATTCTGGTTTCTTGATGTAGCAGTACTGGTCCACTCTGTGCAAACCCTTTGTAGTTCTGTAGTCGCACTGCATATGTCAGGGCAGAATTTGACCCTCAAGATTTAATAAAACAGTAGAAGTGATAACTGAAATAGTTCAGAAGTGATTTAATTTCTGCAGGCCATTTTAAATATGAGTCTTCACATTTGTCTTTTGTCTTTTTACCTCAGGAGTGGACACATGCTAACACACCAGAAAACAAAGCCATTTATGTGTGTAGAACAGGGTTGCAATAAGAGTTACTGTGACCATCGTTCATTGCTTCGACATTATGAAATGCAACATGGCTTGTCTATATTGAAGGAGGCCACCTGTGATGAAGATGCCTGTAAAGTCTCATCACCTTCTCATGATGCAGTTGTCCAAAATGGACAAGATGGCATGAGAATGGAGAAGCTGGCTGTACACTCCGAATCCAAATATCCAAATCCTGGCCTGCCCAATAGAGACCTTCTGAAATGCATTGTCAGCGTTGTAAATCAAAAGCTTCCATCAACTCCAGCATCTTCTACAGGGCAGTCGGAGGCTGACTTGAAAGGTTCCCTGCAGTCCTGCTCCTCTGCCTCTGATCAGGTTTCTTGCATCCCATCTAGCACGACTGCACTGTTTGAAGTGACAGGTGAGAACATGTTGAAGGAGCATTATCCTAGCCAAAAGAATGCCACCTCTTCCAATGTGTATGCCATAATAAATCCTGGTAATTTATCTGTGATCGCACCAGGAGAAAACATACTTACCAGTTTGACTGATACATCGCTGCTTTCAGAATCACAGTTTCCTTTAGAGACTACAGGGCTGGATTATTGGCCAAACAGCACTTTACCTTGTTTTCCATTATTTAGGGGTCAGAAGATTTCTGCAAACTCCTCCCATCAGTCAGGCAGTAATTTTCAGTGGATCAGAAACATGCCAGTTTGTACTAAAAGCAAAGGGAACAGTGTTTATATTACTGATAATCCATCTGTTACAGCTCAGAATATTTCAGGTGGGTTTTCTGGACCTTCGCAAGTGTTCGACTCATTTTCACAGATGTATGAGTGTCCAGAGGCTGTGTCATTTGCACTTGTGAAGACCCAAGGAGAAATCTCAAGTGAAACAAAGCTCAGCAGTTTTGAGGAAACCTTTAGGCCAGCAAAAAGACAGGAATGTGACATTGATTCCTGTCACTGGCCAAATGTTCAGAAGCATAGTATGTTACAGAATGACACTAACCCACACTTCAGGCAGCTTTTCATGGAATCCTCAGTGAACCAAGAGCATATGCAAGTGCAGCAGCACCTACTCCAAATGTTCACCAAAACTCAGCACATTTTGTCCCACACTCAGGTGGTGGCTCCATCACAGCAAGCAACTTCTGAGGTGAAACAGACTGTAGAAAAACCACTCCAAAGTATTCTGCAACAGCAGCAGCAGATTGATGTGATTCATTCTCTTCTAGAGCGCACAGAGCATGAAGGGTCGCCTTTGTTTATGCAAAAGACTTTGACCCAGTATCAGAAGGATGTGGCATCTGTTAGTGAGGAACAAGGCCATAAAGGAAGGCAGCAAGCAGCATTTACTTTGCAACCTTTTCACTCCCCATCAGACCCTGTTGTAAATTCAGACACTGTTTACTCTGCCAAGCAGACTAGACCCTTAAAAGGGTGTGTGGGGTTCAAAGATATTGCCAACTCCAGCCAACCTCAGCCTACAGTATGTGATAAAGCAATGGGAAACTCTACTTATCGGAAATCACGTCAGCGGGAAAATAACACTTCTGTATATAGCAACAAAGAGAAGAATGAAGAATTTTGCAAAGGAACAGGTGGCAAACTGCATTTCAGTACTGGTAGACCTCGCCGCTTGCCCAGTGTCCGCAAAGAGAAGCTAAAGTTTGACCTGTCTTGTTCAGCTTCTCCAAGTCAAGTAGCCATGGCTTCCTTTTCTTTACCTGGCACTTCATCCAGTCATGTGCCTGAAAAAACCCACAAACTCACCATTTTCAATAGGATTCAGGTATGTTCAAATCTTTTATTTTTAACAAAGAAAAAAAAACTTCTAATTTTTTATACTAATAAACAGAAAACAGATGGCATCTTAGTGGTTAAAGCTGAGAATGAGGAGTCAGAAATCTTGGCTTTTCTTACAGCAAGTCACTAGGAGGTAGGTGTTTAATTCATTTGGGAGTTTTTGCATCTTTAGGTAGCTAAATAACTTTGTATATCTGTCTATCTGTATCTCAGATTCTCCATCTTTAAAACAAGGATAATGATACAGGTTGAAACTCTCTAGTCCGGCACTCTCTGGTCCAGTAACATCCATGGTCCTGCATGATTTTAGTTTGCTGGATGTCAGCTTATGATGGGTGTGGCCAAGTTTCCCGCGGCCAGCTGTGTAAAGTTTGTTTACAGCTACCAAGACTGGCTGTCAGTGTTCTGGACAATTATTTAGCTTTAATTTCCCCCCAAATATCTTCTATTAGCCATGCAAGCAGTGGAAGTGTTGGTAATGCCAGTACGCATTAGCATGGTTTTTATGCTTTATCTATTTATTCCTTGTGCCAATACAACACTAACACTTTATTATGAAAAGAGCTGATAAGTCGTAGCTAGGCATAGGCTTATATATGGTGCATCAGTACAGTCATGCATTGCAAGTATCATTCCATATATTTGTCTCGGCAAAATAAAATGAGACCCACTCACTACAGCAGGGTTACTCAACACGCGACCCACGGGCCATTTGTTTGCGGCCCACAGTGTGGTTTGGGTTTATGCAGGGCTTAGCATGCGACCTGTAGGTGGGATGCTTTGAACATAGCCTCTGCTGGGAACACACTCCACAATGGTGAGTCAATATAATGGTCTTCTGTTGATATGTGTTTTAGTAGTTACATTCCTGGACTGTCATTGCTCATTATGTAACAGACAATAACAGAGTTTAAAGAGAAGCTAGATAATTTCATGAAGGTTACGTCCATAAAAGGCTATTAGCCAGGGGGTAGAAATGGTGTCCCTGGCCTCTCTTTGTCAGAAGCTGGTGAAGGATGGCAGGAGACAAATCGCTTGATCATTGTCTTCAGTCCACCCTCTGTGGGGCACCTGGTGCTGGCCACTGTCAGCAGACAGGCTACTGGGCTAGATGGACCTTTGGTCTGACCCAGTATGACCGTTCTTATGTTCTTATTAAAAGTTCTGTCATATGGGTGGAAATTGGGTAAATCTTGCATTTTATTAATATCAGCAAAACTGACTTAAATGGGCCTGCGTGTTATGTAGTCTTGCTTTAATCTGTGTATTCATGCCCATCAGTCTGAAAGAAGCTATTTGCATATATTGGCATGTATATGCAACCACACTTAAGTTGAGGCCCTCGGCATGTGCTGTGAGTATCATTGTGGCCCCCGGGGCTTCCAAAGTTGAGTAACCCTACACTACAGTATTGACCTCCTGTGGTTCGGCAAATTCTCTGGTTCAGTACCTGTGAGGTCTTGAGGGTGCTGGACTAGCGAGGTTCAACCTGAACCAACCTTTTCAGATTCTCCATCTTTAACATGGGGTTAATGATACTTACCAACCTTTGAAAAGTCCTGACATATTACTGGAGCAGTGACGCAAAGTGCCATTTTTTTAGCTGAGAAGTGGAATCACCATTGTAACTTTTGAGGTTAAAAACAAAATAAAACGAGCACGTACATTTTCTTTACAAATGTTGGGGTGTAAATATATAGGGGAAATTATTTTAAAACTAAGACCTCCTTTACCAAACGTGTACAGAAGACTTCAGTTTGTAGTGGAAATACACATTTTAACAGGGCTGTACTGGTAGACTATGCTATAGTAATGTATTGCCAAGAGGAATCAAGTTGAAATCTGGTTCAGGATTGTGATGGGATTCTAATCAGCTCACCTGATAAGTTCTAATGTTACTGTGGTTGCAGAATAAACTTTTTTCCAGGCGAAAAACAGTACACCAGAACTGAAAAAAATTTAGTATTCCATAGAATAAATAAATAGTTTCACCATTACTGTTGATCTTGATGTCTTTGTCAAGATCATATTACTACATTATTTTAACGTGGGAGAAAAGCTCATAATTCATTCAGTTCTTCTAGTGAATTATGTATTAGGCTTAGTCACTAATCAGTGAAGATATCTTTCAGTGCTCCCATGGGTTGCACAGAAATATTTCTTTACTTTTCATAAATCAAAAACAGTAAAGCTTGGTCTGACATCCTTCACACTTGGTAGTCTGACAAAAGCCTTATTTGTCAGTGTTGCTGTTTTGAAATTCAGCTTGAAGGATGTGATAAAGTGGGCCCAACATTCTTTTACACAGCACAACTATGTTTTTCTTTGCTTAAGAATAAAAATATGGGACGTTAGGCTGTGCTTTTAACCTGAGATCTGAAAATACTTTTTAATCCCCTTCACAAACATTTATAATTACCTCTGTTTGGGGGTTTAACATTATATCTGTTTTATAGATTGGAAAACTTAGGCACAAATATGTTACATGATGTATTAAGTTAGTTTCCAGTCTGAAATAGGACCTACAATTCCTAACTCTAGCCTTAGCTAATGGACTTCATTATCTCTTTGTGTTCCTTTGAGTGCATTTTATGAGCATTGACAGCTTTAGTGTCACTAAAAATATTTAGCATTTAGATGGCATTTTACATATTTCAGAGTGAATTAAAAGCATTAACTAATTAAGCCAGTGTTAGAGGTTTAAAATGACTTAACAAGATGGAGTCACACAGGATGCTTAGTAATGTAATACAAACCCTTTCAACTCGCTTCTTGAATCAACTTGAGCTCTAGCTTACTATATATTTGAGAGAGTTTGTGTGTTTGTCTATGAGTCTTTTTGTTCAGTAAATACTAAACTGTAAGAGCAAGGATCACCAAATTTTGTACAAATTTTTCTTCCTCTTACAATTTAAAAACAAGTTAGTGGTTTGGCTGTGCCAGGACAATGGGATGTGACTGGAATTCGATTGTTTTGCATAAAACAGAAAGGGAACAATCTGGCAGGAGGGACAGTTGTACTGTAGAATGATCGAGGGGGGGGACGACAAGGGACCAGAGGTGACCAGGGCAGCTATAAACGCATTAGTACAGCAGGGGGCAGAGTTGGAGAAAGAGACTGCTATCTTCTATATATTGTAGAGAGTTTGTCTGTCTGTATGTCTGTTCATCCCCCAGCCGGGGGATATGCACCCCCCTCCCCTTCTATGCCTGCTGTAGCTGCAATAACCATGGAGAGGTGCTTCTCACTTGTCCCCAGCTGCTGCGGTGAGAGAGAGCCACGGTTGTCCTCTCTCTCCAAGGAAGCCTGCATTCTGAACCCCCATCCCCAGGACCACCATAGAGCAATGATTAACAGAAAGAAAAACAAAAATTATTTCAGTTAAGGACCCAAGCAATGCCAGATAAATCTGTCTAGTCAGTAATAAAGCATTGGTAACATCAGACTGTTCAGTGAGCTGGGTGAAGTGCGCGAGTATAGTAAAGGACATATGTACAAATCGCTTTGTCAGTTGGGAATGATTGGTAATTAATTGCTTGCATAACCAGTGAGTGCAGAGGCTGAATAGTTATACATAGTGAACTTCTCACCCTTAGAAACAGTCCTTTCAGGTCAGATACAAGACACATTCGCTACGTCTACACTGGCTGCAAGTTCTTGCGCAAGAACACTGACGTTCTTATGTAAGAAATCAGTGCTTCTTGCGCAAGAACTATGACGCTCCCGCTCAGGAATAAGCCCTCTTGCGCAAGTGTTCTTGCGCAAGAGGCCAATGTAGACAGGCAACATGAATTTCTTGCGCAAGAAAGCCCGATGGCTAAAATGGCCATCGGAGCTTTCTTGCGCAAGAGAACGTCTACACTGGCACGGATGCTTTTGCGCAAAAGCACATCTCTTGTGCAAAAGTACATGCCAGTGTAGACGCTTTCTTGCGCAAATACTTTAATGCAAAAACTCTTGCGTTAAAAGTATTTGCACAAAATCTTGCCAATGTAGACGTACTCATTGATGGAATGGGGTGTGGAAGCTCACATGAATGCCATCCATGCTGTACCTGTTCTGTGGCTGAATAGTTTTGAGTCTCAAGGTTTTGTGGAGAATCATTTCTTTGTTGTGTTCATTATTAGTTGCACTTCCTGTCCCATGCAGTTGGATAACAGTTCATCCTCATGAACTACTACTCTGATGGAGAGTTGTGATAACACAGAGAAACTGTCCACCAGATCATCAGGCATTAAAGGGAACCTTTTGGGTCTTATGCATCTTTTGACTAGGCTCTACAAGAGCTGCTGCTGTTTCTGCAGTCTGAAAGGTCACTTGTGCACAGAGATGACCTTTATTCAGACAATTCTCAATGGGCCTGTGACAGACTGCTGGCTAAGCCAGTGCTCTGCCACAGTAGCCTGGTTAAGGGGAAATAGCTGATCAAGCCCAGGCTGGCAGGGCTATCAGAAGCAGCTGTGGGGCTCACAGCAGGAGGGCTATATAAGGCAAAGGAAGGAAGACAGAGGGGAAGGAGGAGTAAGGAGCCAGGGCATGGCTCAGTGTGCTTCTAGGTGGAGAGAGAGCGAGCAGTTGGCTGTCTGGATGGTAAATGTTGTAAATAGAAGGTGGTGGGAACCTACAATAAAGGCCCAGGTGTTTGCATCAGAAGGCTTGTGACTGTTTTGTGGACCAGCCCAAGGGGCCGGAGCAGGGACTCTGCTACAGGGCCATTCCATAATGTGGGTGCAAGTTCTGAACTGCCTCTGTGGTACCATTCCCCACTACGGTTACTAGATGATTTCAAAAAAATACTGGACACTCTTGATCTCAGATGTGGGGGGGGAGGAAGCTGACCGGGAGGGGAGTGGGGCTGGCCAGGGGAGATTGGGGGAGGAGGGGAACCGGCTGGCAGGAAGCAGGGCTAGCTGGGAGGGGAGTGGGGCTGGCCAGGGGAGATTGGGGGAGGAGGGGAACCGGCTGGCAGGAAGCAGGGCTAGCTG